TTGTCATAGATCCTGTTTACAAAGTTCTTATTTAAATTTGTTTTCCCCACAGTATTCAAAGCATTCTTACTGGTTAAGATTTTCTCAGAATTAGTTACAGTTAAGTATTTAAGTCTTTTTTCGCATACGAGCCATCCCAACATTTTTACATTTCTCATATCTTAAGAAAAAGAAAAACAGAAAACATTTCTTTTATATAAACCATAATATTTTTATATTTCTCATGTCTCATATCAAACAACAAAACACAAAAGAAAAAAGAAAGAAGGCATACTGTATTACTTTAGAGATTCATCCCTCTTAAACTAATTTTTAATTTATATCCAAATTCTATTTCTTTAACCATATTCAATCGTTTAATTTTTAAATATTCCCTCTGGTAAATCCCATCATCTAGTTTCTTAATTCTTGCTTTAGCCTTTTTTTTTTTTTTTTGCCAAACATCTTTCCTGATCAGTATGCTTCACTGAATCAAAAAAACTTCCCATAATCTTGAAAATGTTGCAGGTATAAAGGGCAAACAGGTAAGATGTTTCTATAGAAGGTTTTGCCCTTTTGTATTCATTGAGAATCTTCCTTTCTTGATTTTATTTATCATTTTTTTGTCTCTCAAGTTCTCCTGACAGAATCCATTTTGTCAAATCTTTTTTCTTGTCCTCAAAACTTATTTTGTGATCTTAAAGTGTAGGTTATCTTTTCCATATCTAGTGTTTCCTGTAAGTTTTTTTCCTTCTGGGTTAAGTCGTACTTTCTTCTGTTATTAAATTCCATCTTAAAATTTCTCTCCTCTGTCTTGTATTCAGTTGTCTGTTTTTTCTGCTCACTCTCTATTTTTGTTTTCTGAGAATTTTTGTGTTATAAAGTTAAATTGGAGATGTGTCCATTTATATTTTCAAAGTTATTTTTGATTTCCTTGTGGTTTGAGATAATTGTTGTTTGAATTAGTTGCAACATAGCATAGATCTCCTTTTGGAAAGTATTTGTTTTTTCTTGGTACATTCTTTCTGCAAATCTCTGAGTTTTCATGATAGCCAAAAGTCAGGGTTTCCCTTTCTCCGCAGACAGTTTAGAATCATAGTTGAGTTAGTATTTGTAATCCAGAAAGATCATTTTTTTAAAAAAAGTTTATAGTTCTCACTTCATAGATAGCCCAAAATGTTGGGGTTTTTTGTCACAGCTATTCTCTGTTATTAAGACATTGAAGGTCATCAAGAAGCAGTTATCTCTTCCTGGGCTTTGCCAATCCCTATAATAGAGTAACTGCTATTGTATATTTTCATCCACCACTAGATGTCAGCACCAGATCATTTTTTTTATTTTTCAGTAATAAACAATTGTTTACCTCTATTTTCATGATTTAAAAAGAAAATCTTAACAGATTCCACCAATTTCAAACTTATCCAAGTTAAGTCTTGTAATCCTTTCATTTCAATATATTTCTGTTACCCCTGAACAGTTTAATTTGCCACTTCTGTCTGTAGGAGGATGGGGCCAAGATCCCCCTCCTCACTTTTGGACGCTTTTTGCTTTTGGGGGAGGGTTTCTTTTTTCACAGGGAAAAAATTTTCAAGTAGAAAATCACTGTTCTTACCCAGTGCGAAACACATTTATAGTCAGCTTAAAATAGTGCTTTTAGGCTTCAGCTGCTTGTAGCTTGGGCTAGATTCTGACGTTAGCTAGCCTTTGTCCTGCCAGTTTCTAGAGGGCTTTTCCCAAGCCGATTGGATCAATCATCATCTCTCCGCAATCGGCTGGACTTCCTTCCTTTTTTGTTGCCTCTATAGGGCAACTTCAGGCCCATTTAGGGTCCCCTACAGAAATCAACTGTAGGGTGTGGAGCCCTGCAATCTCTCGGCTGCTGCACTACTGCGCAAAATCGGAAGCCAAGATGGTTTTTTTTGACGAGATTGTCACACTGAATAGGCTAATAATTTAAATTCTTAGGATATAAATTCCTGTGGTGTTATGGTTTATTGGTTTGGTTTTATAGGATGAAGAGAAGAAAAATACTGGTAACAAAGGAGGAAGGAAAGTACAGAATTTGAACTATTTTTCTGCGTAAGTATGTTAGGCCAGACAACCCCTAGAATTCATCCAATGATATTAGTTTTGTGCTTAGCCCCTTTTCACAGCAAGGGTTGCAGAGTTTTGTCTAAAACAGTTTGCCATCATAAATCGGTTGGATGTAGTACCTCAAACTAATATGCCGTCAGAAATGCCAAGCTTGTTTTTCGTTTACTTCCACTGTATCCACTTGCAAATGCTATATAAATCATGTTGGCAACAGTTGGCAAAGGATGAAAAAGCAGATTTTCATTTTTTAATTCAGTGTACTCTTAGGGCAAAGTATACATAATCTGCCTTTATCCAAACCCCAAGTTGAATTGGCAGTTTACACATGATTTATTGTGAGGCTTCTAATTTGGTTTTGTGGTGAGTTGTATGTATATACTAAGTAATTAAAATATAGCAAGAAAGAACAGGATTTGCTCATTTTATAAATACCTCCTAACACTCTCAGAAGAGCAGCATTTTGTTTTTTAAATTTCTTTTTACATTGCCTTATTTTATTTCTCTCTTATTCCAGCAATGGTAGTTGTAAACTGATTGTGTTTAAAGTGACTCTTGCTTGTTGGTGAGTCTGAGATTCTTAAATTCCATTCCTGTTTTAGGCCAATATTTATGTCTGATTATTGTCTTGGCTGTAGTTCTTCCTCCTCTTCTTGAAGGCTAATCTCACAGTTCTTTATAGGCTGCTTTAATGGTATCTCTTGATGGGGAAGCACTATTGAAGGACCCAGTCTATGATTTGGGTTTCATCTTGGACTTACACCTTTGGAGGAACAGCAGGTGGCAATAGCCAAGAAGCCTTTGCCAACTCTAGCTGCTTCATTAATTGTACCCCTACCTAGGAGAAGAAAACTTTATTACAGTGCTATCATGCTATCATCACAACTCGAACCACTGCAGTACCTACTTTGGGCTGCCTTTAAAGCTGACGTTTCAACTTAGTTTAAAGTACTGTAGCTTGTATGTTAGCCATTGCTCACCAGAGCGAGAGAACTTTATGCATGTGAACCTGCACTGGTTTTACCAATAGGATTTCAGGTACAGTTTTTTTTTGTAATATATTTTATTGATTTTTAAAAAACATAAATCACTTAATAATTGGTGAACAGTGTGTAGTCTGGGTTACATTTGTAAAACAATCATTAACAATTGATTTCTATAATCCATAATCCACATAATGGTTTTAATTGATTTCCTCTTTTCCCAAAATATCCTCTTTTACAGACATTGAGTTAATACAATTCTTATTGTTTTGATAGATAACAATTCAATATATAATTTTTTCCCAATATTCCTAAAAATAATAATCCTATCAATATAATATTTCTTTTCTATCTAATCATTCTGGTTGCCTTATCATAGAGCCTTTTACAGTCCTTATTTTAGTTTGTTTCTCCCACCAAATTCTAGGTATTCTTACTGGTTAAGATTTTCTCAAAAATTAATTACATTTGAAAATTTAATTCTATTTTTCTATATGAACCATCTCACACTTTTACATTTCTTAAGAAATAGATAAAACAATTAAAAAAAGAAATGAGAGCAAGAGTGAAAAAAAAATAACATACTACTTAAAATATATATCCCTCCTACGCTAATATATATATAATTTCCTAAATTTCTTATTCTTTTTAACCATAATTAAAAATATGTTTAATTTTTAAACATTCCATTTAATACATCTAGTCATCTAATCCTTTAACTCTTATTCAAAACATTTTTATCCATTATAATTTTCTTAAATTCAATCACATTTAAATATCTAAAACATTTCCTTTATCTAAGTCATTTCAACTTTTTAATATTACTCATATCAAGAAAGAGAACCAAAATGGGAAAAAAGCATACTATATTATTTAGGAAGTTTATCCCTCTTAGAATGACATATATATTCCAAAATGTTTCTATTCTTTAACCATATTCAAACAAATGTTTCTTTTTTAAGTATTCTCTCTGGTAAGTCCCATCATCTATTTTCTTGGTTTCCACTTTAGTCTTTTTCCTTTGCCCAGTATCTTTCTTAATCAATGTATTTTGCTGAATCAAAAAGTTTTCCATATGTTCGTAAATATTGCTGTAGGTATAAAAAGTAAATCAGGTGAAGTGTCTTTGTACGAGGCTTCTGCCTTTCCATGTTTGTTGAAAATCTTTTTCTTTCTCTCTGCTTCTCTTATCATTTCCTTTCTGATGTTCCTAACATCTCTACAGTCCATTTTATCCACTCTGTTTTCTTGTCCTCAAATTTATTTTGTAGTCTTAAAGGATAAGTTGTTTTTTCCAATTCTTGTGAATTTTTTTCCACTAGGATTAAATCACATTTCCTTGTTTTGTTAAGTTCCATATTTAAGTCTCTATTCTCAATTCTATATCCATTTATCTGTTTTATCTGTTCCTTCTCTCTTGTTTTTTTCTGGGAATTTTTTTGTTGTACAGTTAACTTAGAAATAGATTGATTGCTATTTTCAACGTTATTTTGGATTTTTTTTGTGGTTTAAAGTCAGTGTTATTTGAAATAGTTGCAGTATAATATATATCTCCTCCTGTGAAGTATTTATGTTTTCTTGATATATTCTTTCTACATGTCTCTGACCCACGATGGCCAAGAATTTGAGTTTTTCTCTTCCTTTCTTTTCTCTGCAAATAGCTTTAGAGTCCCAATTAAGTAGATATTTGTAATCCAAATAGTTCAAAAAATATTTTTTTTCTGAAATTTATAATTCTCTGTCTACAGCCCACATTATTGTCTTTTTTTCTTTTTCTTTTTTTTTGTCACAGCTGTTCTTTGTTGATAAAGCTTTGAAGGTCACAACATAGATTAGCTTTTCCCAGGTTTTGCCAAGTCTTATATTAAAGTCATAGCTGTCATAGTCTTCATCCACCACTAGGTGTCAGCAACTATTTGTTTTTCAATTTCCAAAATGAACAATTATCTTTAAAATGAGAGTCTTAACCATTCAAACAATTTTAGATTTATCCAGATTTAAGTTTTAAATTTCAGGTTTTTTATTTATTTCACTTCCATATATTTTGATCCTCCATAAAAAGATTAATTCGCCACTTCTGTTAGTATAAAGGTGGGGCAGAAACCCCCCTCCTTCCCTTTCGGAGGTATTTTGCTTCTTGGGGGTCTTTTCCAGGAAATTAAATATAGAATAGAAAAGAGAAGATCGAATTCCTCACCCAGTTTGAAGCACGCTGTTCACAGTTGTGCTAGTTAGTACTTTTGGACTTTGGTTGCAAGTAGCTTGGGTTGGTCTATGCAATAGAGCCAACCTTTCTCCTGTCAGGTTAGAAAGCTTTCCCCAAGTCGAATGGAACGACCGCCACCGTTCCAGAATCGCTGGAGCACCCTTCTTTTTTCGTCGCCTCTCCGGGGTGACTTAGACCCATTTAGGGTCCCCAGGCAGGGCGAAATCAGCCGCGGGGGTGTGGAGAATATGCAAGCCCAGTCACTACCGCCCAGGACCAGAAGTCCTTTCAGGTACAATTTGAAGTGCTGATTTTTACCTTTAATTTTTTTTTTATTGCATACTTTCAGGATTCTTACAGTAGAGTTGGTTCAACCAATTCAATTTTGCTGAGAATTGCTGGTAGTCGTACTAGTCCCCTGGAATGCTAATACAGAGAGAGAGAGAGAGAGAGACTTCAAATTTGATTGCCTTCTGGAAGAAGTTAAAATGAACTAGAGAGCAGTCTAGTATATGATTTTATCTGGAGTGGTATGTTAATGGCTGCTGGACTACCATACCATTTTGGAGATTTTATGATGTTTTATGTTTTTATGTAAATTAACAAGAGGACTAAGAATCCTCCAAGACCACAGCAAGACATTCTGTGTATCTGCCTGTTTTGTCTCCATCCCTCATCCTAGCACAAATTCCTGCTGAATTGTAAGCATTAGATCTGAGGATATATTAGCCTTTTCTCAACATTGGAAATTCTCAATAAAGTTACAAGGATATTTTTTTGTAGAGGAAACTGTTGCTTGTTTCAGTAGTTTCAAATATGAGTTTCTCAAATAACTTGATTCCATGACCAAATGTGTTGGATATCCAGGACTGAGGCATTGAAGAGCCTTCATATTTTGAAGCCCTAGTCCTTGTCCTTTCAAGAGAGCTTCTTTACATTAATGTGGCAGACCTTCCAACAGGCTTTTGAGGTGTTAACGGTTCCCTTTGAGTCTAGGATAACTTGCCATGGTCAACTTGTCATGAGATGACAGGACAAAAGTTACGCTAATGTTGAAAAAAAAAGGTGGAATAGAATCATTAAAGGATGCAAAAAAAGGGATGAAATGTGAATGACAAAACTTAAAATAATGTTTTAATTATTTTAAACAATTGAATTGAATTGTTGAATTGTCCTGTGATAAGTTGGCTCATGACAAGTTGGTCGTGGCAGATTGGCTGCAGTGAGTTGTCCCATTCCAATCATAAATGTTTGCATACATCAAGTCTGTTTGTCTGCTGAATTTTAACTCCTTTCTGTAATGTGTAAACAGTATTCCCTTTCCTGCCTCCTTTTTCGTTATCTCCATCCAGTTTTGTTCTCTCTCTCTCTCTCTCTCTCTCTCTCTCTCTCTCTCTCTCTCTCTCTCTCTCTCTCTCTCACACACACACACACACACACACACAGAGAGAGAGAGAGACGAGAGAGAGAGAGAGAGAGAGAGAGAGAGAGAGAGAGAGAGAGAGAGAGAGAGAATTTCTATTCCCTTTTCATGGCAGTTATTCCAATCAGGTTTTTAATTTGGGGGGGGGGATTTAATTGTTTCTACTGGAAGGTAGGAAAGCAGAGTGTTTACATATTTCTGTGTAACACAGAAGTTGTTTGCCTGGTTGACAGAGTGAGGGCAGATGAAAAATCAATATATACAAAAGGGGTTCCTTATTTTATAAACAACTAGCTTTAATCAGGAGCTCTTAATTCAGTTAATAAATATTAACATTAAACCGGTGTTTATTAATGCATTAATTTATTAGTTGTCTAGAATTGTCTCAAACAGCAAGATGGGTTCTAGGATGATTTCAGATGGAACTAGCAACCCTATGTTGATAGCATGGGGATGTTGTCTATTATACAGCATTTTTAAGCATTTTTTACTTTTTAATGTATTCCTTTTTGTTCAGTTCATTTAATAACCACGGGTCTTTTCTTTGGGGACATAAAGTCATGCTTTCTGCAGAATGCAGTCTCTGTCTATAATAGTTCTTTCATATAGTCAGCACACAAATGTCAACAACTCTCAAGTATTTTTCTAGAAAGCTGACTTTCAGGTTGTTTTTAAATTGTCTGGGTGATGTGATATTTCTATTATTGTTTTCATCATCTCCTATTTAATTAATAGTTATATGTTTTCTTTCTCTTTGATTAATTTGAAACATATACACCTAGAGTATTGGCTATTTTCTGTGCTGTAATTGTAAATTTTTTATCCCTTGTAATTGACAAAATTTCATTAAGCAAACTAGTAGTTTTTCTTGCCTCCTCCATTCAGGGCTTTAAAATACAGGTAATCCTTGACTTATGACTACAATTGAGTCCAAAATTTTTGTTGCTAAGTGAGACATTTCTTTTACCCCATTTTGTAATCTTTCTTGCCACAATTGTTAAGTTAATCACTGCAGTTGGTAAATTATTAACACGTTTGCTAAATGATTCTGGGTTTCCATTGATTTTGCTTGTCAGAAGGTCGCAAAAGGTAATCACATGATCCCGGGACACTGCAATGGTCATAAATGTGAGTCAGTTTCCAAGTGTCTTAATTTTGATAATGTGACCATGGGGATGCCGCAATGGTCATAAGTGTGAAAAACAGTCATAGGTCACTTTTTTCAGTGCTGTTGTAACTTCAAATTGTTGTAATTCAAGGACTACCTGTAATCAGAATAATGTGGGAAATAACATAAAAATCTACAGTTGAATGCTAGTTCTATTTAAACATGCTTGCATCTATCTGCTGAGGTTACTTATTTTGTGGCCAGCTGATTCTAGAGAAAAAGAATTATAACAGATTGTGCAAGTTCTGCTCAATTGTTTTCCTCCTTATCTTTGTCTTCTAGTTTTGCTTGTGAACACCAGCTGTTTGCAAGCCACAACAATCAAGAGGAGTTCTTTATTATTTTTAATGGATATATAAAATGATGTGGAATTTGTTCGCAAACTATTTGTAAGTGAAATATGATTGGCTCAAATACTTTCTACCTTTGTAGCATAAGTGCAGATTTGCATGGATTGCTCATTTTACTTTTCCTATGCCTATTTCAAAAATCAAGTTTGCTAAGGACTGGGAAATATTTTAGCAAAGTTGTGGAAAAGGAACAAAAAAATCATAGCATTTTAGATAGAAACTAGAAACATGTACAGGATGGTATTGTGATCCAAACCATTATTTCTCCAGCTTCTCTTCCTTTCTTTTTCAACGTTTCCTGTTTAGCCCGTCAAGAACAGGAGGTTGGGTTTTTTTTTACTGCCCTGCAGAAGCTTAAAATATGCAACTGCTGAATAATTTGTCATTGTCAGTAACATTTGCAAAAATGGTATGTCCAAACAATATGGTTTTGTTAATAATTAGATGTGGTGAAAGCATGCCAGTTCAAAGTTTGCATACATCACAGAGTTATTGTAAAGTAAAATATACAAAGTTCTTCTGCAGCTGAGCTCAGAAAGCAAATAATTGACTTGCATCTGCACAGCTGCAAATTAAGCAGGATGTAGCAATTCAAAAGGGTTCAGATCCCTAGGGAATATGATATGCTAGGCCATTTTCTAAGATAGTTACCATAGCATTTTCTAAGATACTTGCCTGATAGTTTGAATCCTATATAACTTGAGCCAAAGATAACTTTGGCCAACAGTTGCATCTTGCTCTGCTTAAAATTCCAAATACCCCACACAAAAACCAGAAAAAAAAGTGGGTGGGACTGATAGTAAAGACATGTATATAATTCTGCCTGTAGCCATTGCTAGTCAAAAATTTGTCAGAGGTCTAAAGGAGGTATAAAAACACTTTAGCAGACAGAACAACACTTTTTCTTAGATATCTTACTAACCTTTACCTACTCCCCATCCAATCCCCACTTTTTTCTTAAACTTGAAAGCCTATTCTGAAACTATTCTGAATCTAAATCTATTTGATCACGTAATACAGGTAAGCCTTCTCTGTTTCCCTTCCCAGGCCTTCAACAACCTACCTGTGCTCCATAATGCCATCTGTGGTGCCCCCATTCTCCCAGGGTACCCCCACACTCATCTTTGATTATTGCATTTTCCTGCTTAACCTTGAGGTTACAACAGCAATTGGGATTGCCATTGCTAAGCGATATAGTTGTATGATATGACCATATCACTGTTGACAGTCCAGGTCCCAATTGCTAGCATAATCTGAAGATTACTTCTAAGACATATTTTAAGGCCATGTCCCATATTTCCCCAGAAAATCGAAACACCATATGTAAACTTAGTTTTAGATTTTTCCCATAACTCTGGAACAAGTTGGGCTGAAAGAGACATCCAATGAATTTTTATTATTATTATTCATTAAATTTATTGTGCTCATCCATTCCAAAAGATAACACCCAAATATAGAATTAAAATTGTTAAAAACATGACAGCAAAAAAACAACTAGCTGAGATTCAGCTTTTTGGTAATTGTCTCAAACCAAAATAAATTATTTCCAACCAAGGATCTCTGTTTCCTTTAATAAAATGCATTGAGATGAAAGGAATAGGGTTACAAGAATTTCAGTAACTGTTGCAACTATTTCCAAATATTTGTACTATTTCCAATTTAGTACTAATACTAAAGCAACAGTTTTTAGCTTTTTTCCACCTTGATGCAGCACAGAGATGGATCTTTTCATTGGTAACAGGTCTGCAGCTTCTGGACTAACCACTATGGAGGATGGATTTGGACCAGTTTTTCCCCAACCTCATTGAAGACTACCTCTATTTTGAATGATTACATTATATTTTAACCATACTTTTAAAGATTTCTTAAATGTTGCTTAAATGTCCTCTTTCAAGGAAGTAGTGCACTAAAGTTGTCAGTTACAGAACAGATCCAAAAGGCGTTTGCTATCCTAGTTCACATTTTCTACTATAGATGCAAACAATTGGATGAAGAACAAATCGAATGGTAGAAAAAGAGAAAGGTATAGTCTACAGATATAAGCCTGCTGATATAAATGAAGACTAGGGGTTGTTTAGGCAAGCAGTTCTTCAAAATTTTAGGAAAATATTGCAACTATAGTCCAAGGGAGAACAAGGCACTTGAGCTGGAAAGAGACAAAAAGAGCTCATTCATTCTGTAAATTTCAGGAAACCAAATAGCAAACTAGAAGCAGGAATGGAAACTCCTGCAAAGGGCTTCTCTTGCCTGCATGAGTTTGTATTTTTCTTTCCTTAGCAAGCAGGCACAAAGAAAAATAAAACTGAAGTCTTCTGGCTGAGATGAATGGAAATTCAGTCTCAGGGCTGTCAAGCTGTGCTCCTTCCCCTAAAAAAAAAATTGAAGAAGAAATGGAAAATGCTTGTATAAAAGAGGGAACCTTTCAAACCTCTTAGCCCTTTGGGTTTCCCGAAGCATGACACAAGGTCCTGTCTCAATCCAGAGAAAAATAAAGCAATAGACATCCAAGTATACATGTTGTTCAAACACTGCTATCTGGCAGTTCCCTGTAGGCAGACCATACAATTCTCAAGTCATGACTTCGCTTCCTTGCCTTGCGGCAGGACAAATTGGCTCAGCATTCCTTCTCAAACAACCATAAGGCATGGCAAAGCATTTACCCTTCTAGCATGTGGATGTACCTCAACAAAAACGTTACCTTTCTTTCTATGAGTTAATGTGATACTGTACGTCGATTCTGATAAACCACTCAAAGCAATATTTATAGAGTGTGTTGCTATTAATATATTCTGTTATTTGTTGCCATCAATCCTCTGTGTTTTAATTTTTGTAGCCATCTTGAATCCTTTCCTCAAGGAACAGTTGGATTTAATTGCTAGCCCAAAGAACTAACTTTGGAGAAGGAGACAGCTTTTTTTATTTCCGAAACATGCTGAACCTATCAGACATTCTAGTATCTATTATCATGTGGACTTTGTCGTTCCTTGGGAAACTGACTGCGGGAGCAAACTGAAATAAGTGGTTTGTGATTTATCCCGTGACTCACTACTGTTTTCTCTAGCCCCAGGATGTCTGTGCCACACAGTACAAATATATCTCCACAAGCATGAAGAGGAGGGTTATATGCCTTTGCTGACCTTTAACAAACCCCTCCTTTCAAGTTTCTTCCTCCTCCTAGTCTGTCTTCTCTGTCTTTCATTCTGACTAGTTACAATTCCAGAGAGTGGTTTGAAATTGGAACACCACTGCTAGACTCCTCTGTTTCTGCTATTGCAAAGATGAATCAGAAAGTTCTTCTCCTCATGCTCATTTTAGCCTTTCTAGCAATTTTTGCTTTAGTGTGTATTTTGTTGACCAGAGGTGAAAAATATGATAGCTGTGCTTCTCAGTCTCAAGTTTTATCCGAGCATCTAAATAGCAAATGGAGTTGGCTCTTTGCTGATTTATCACAAGAGGAATTAGTCCATGTAGTACAATATTTGAAATACAATCTTGGAGCAACCTTGGAAGATGCTTCTCATGCAAAGCCTTCTGATAACTGCATTTATTCTGTTGATTTGGAGAAGCCCTCTAAAGCAGAGACTTTGTCATTTCTGGATCATGGAGGAAGATGCCCACCTAGGCAGGCTTTGGTTATAGTGTTTTTTGGAAATCAGCCAGATCCAAATATTACTGAATATGTGGTGGGTCCCCTCCCACAGCCAATATATCACCGGGATGTGACAGTGCAGAAGTATGGAGGACAAGTGCCATATTATCGCAGACCTTCACTGATTGCTGAACACAAGCAGATGGCCCACTTTCTGAAGAGTACATTGTTCCCCACTGCTCCAAGCTTCATGCGTGAAGTATTGAACTACAATGGAGCCAACCTAGCAGCAATGACTACATCACCAAAGGGAATGAAATCTGGGGATCGTGCAACTTGGTTGATTCTGTACCAGAATGTAACTGGTTACTTTTTACATCCTGTTGGGCTTGAAGTGCTAATAGACCACAGAAGCCTAGATATTACCCACTGGATTGTGAAGAAAGTGTTTTATGGTGGCCAATATTATAGGGATATGGCACAATTGGAAAAAGAATTTACAGAGGGGCATATGCATGTGGAAAAGGTGAACAGAGTTCCAGCTGATGGGGGATTCTCTTCAATGAAACCCAGGGTGCATCATGCCAAACTCAGTTCCCTGAATTATGAACCTTTTGGACCACAGTACAGTGTGAAAAACAACCAAGTCCACTCTGCATCCTGGAGTTTTGCCTACCGAATGGATGTATATACAGGACCACAACTTTTTGACATTAGGTTCAAAAATGAAAGGGTTGTGTATGAGCTCAGTGTGCAAGATACAATGTCAGTCTATGGCTCCAACAACCCTGGTGGGATGTCTATTAGGTACATGGATGGGAGTTTTGGAATTGGAAAGTTTTCATCTCCTCTTATGCGAGGGATTGACTGCCCTTATTCTGCTACTTATATTAATGTTACCTATCTAGCAGAAGTAGAAAGACCTCTCATTACTCGTGATGCTATTTGTGTTTTTGAACAGGATATGGGGGTTCCATTTCGCCGTCATTTTTCCAAACTTCACTCTCTGTATTATGGAGGGCTACAAAGCACAGTTTTGGTCTTTCGCTCTGTGTCCACCATTGGCAATTATGACTATGTCTGGGATTTTGTATTTTATCCAAATGGAGCAATTGAAAACAAAGTCCGTGCCACTGGTTATATAAGTTCATCTCATCTCCATAATGATGGCCTAGATTATGGAAACAGAGTTGGAGACCACACTCTAGGAACAATTCATACACACTTTGTTGGCTTCAAGCTGGATCTAGATGTCGCTGGTAAGTATGCAGATTTTCTGTTTCTGTCAAATAAATCCTGAATCCTATCTCTTCTGTTGTGTGCATTTACAGTAGATACTATATTTGACAGACATTTGGATGGTTTGCAGTATATATTTTGTGCTATTTAAGAGACTGATTTCAGAGTATCAGCCTCTTTTATGTTTATACTCTTCCTGTAGCCTGTCAATAATTCACTGTTCTTTTCAAATTCCTATATTAGCAAATCCTATAAGTTCAGGCTTTGTACTGTTAATAATTACAGAGTAAGAAGCTGGGCTCTGCTGAATATTGGTGCTAATCTATCCCAGAATACTTATCTTAGCATGCCTTGACCCTCTGCTTTCAGAAATGATCTCATGCTGATATATAGTCTTTTTATGAGATTCCAATGATCTATCACAGTGGTTCTCAACCTGTGGGTTGGGACCCCATTTGGGGTCGAACGACCATTTCACGGGGGTCGCCAAACAATGCAGTCCACCATTTTTTTCCCCTTTCCTTAGCTTTGCTACTCCCTTGTATTCTATTGGCTTTTGAAAGCCAATAGAATAGACTCTCTTGAATAGAGTCTAATTCTATTGGCTTTCAAAAGCCAATAGGAATTGTCCAGGCTGTCTCTGCCCTGCTGAGCCCACCAAAAGTCCCATTCTGCAAACGGTGCTGCACCAGTTGAGTAGTCCTCGACTTACGACCGGTTGAGTAGTCCTCGACTTACGACCGGTTGGGGGTCGCGGCATTAAAAAGGGTGAGAACCACTGATCTATCATTTACAATTTGGTTTCCAGATGATAATGCCTTTGTTCTCTGAAGCTGGCCTTTTTTTGAGTTTTTTTATAAGCAGAAGATACAAACATATTAATTTTATTGTACATACAACTCCAGCTGGCAAACCTCAAGTACAATTTTTCTTGATAATGCTGAGCAATTGGTTTTTCTTGTCTAAGTATAAAACCTTACTTTTATCCACTTTGAATTTCATTTTGTTAGATAGGGTCCAATGTTCATGTTTATTGAGATCCATCAAGATCTTGAGACCATCTTCTGGGGTATTGATTTGTGTCATCTGAAAATTTGATAAGTTCCCCTTCTATTCCCTCATCTAAATTGTTTGTGAAGATGTAGAAGAGTACTGGGCCTAAAACAGAATTTTGGGGTACCCCACTGCTTACTTCCCTCCATATGGCTGTAGTTCCATTAAACACTACACATTAAGTACTGTTTTCAGCCAGTTACAAATCCATCTGGTGGTAGTACTGTCTATTTCACATTTTCTAGCTTATCAAGAAGTAGGTTGTGGTCTACTTTGACAAATGTCTTGCTGACATCTAACTATATTATGTCCACAGCATTTCGCTGATCCACTAGTTTAATCACATTGTCAAATAATGAAATCCACAGCAGGATCTAACCAATTTCATATCATCTACTGGAGGGCTTTTCAACTGGTGGTATGTGTACCACCGATGGTACTTTGGCACCTGGCAGGTGGTACGCAACTGTCCTACAGAAGTGGTAGCGGGGGGGGGAGAGGAATGAGTGAAGCAGCAACAGCGTTGCACAAGCCTTGAGGGAGAGACAGCTGGAACTGCAGGGCTGTCAGGGTTTGGCAGAATCTGTACGCACGGCTACAAGCTGATTGGCACTTCTGCAGAGTTGTCTGGGCTCCGCACTGAGCTCCAGCTGATTGGCACTTCCAAAAGCAGCGCATAGCTAGAGGTTCACGGAAAAGGAGGGGGGAGAGAGAGGAAAGGATATAAAAAGAGGAAGTTTTGGCAGGAAAGGGCCAGTAAGAGGCTGCCCCGCCCCGCCCCGCCCCCTGGGTGCACACATAGGAGGCACCCGGAATCCCTGCTTACTGTTCCTGATGGCCGCTCAGAAAGAAAAGAGGCAAGCCCAGGCTGGCGGGGTGCTGATTTACAACCTTGTAGCTACCATCAAAGCCAGAATGCGCTCAGCCTTAGATCCATGGGGCAGCCCTGGAACCAGTGACGGGCCACCCCGCTGTCTCAGCCCCACCCCCACCCCACCCCTTGGGCATGCCCACAGGAGGAGGCGGTGAGCATGTGGGGTCTGGCGCCCCAGGGGACTGCTTTCTAAGCGCTTTGCAGGTTCATTTTTTAAAACTGCCTGAGGCTCCAGGGAGGAGGCCTCCCATTTTGAACCCTCCCTCTGTCATTGCCTCTGTGCCTGAAGGGCCTCTGCATGGCTCTGAGCTCATCTCTCCCAGACCCGTGCATGTGTTTTGTGTGTGTGTGTGTGCGCGCGCGTGCGTGTTTGCATGGGGGGTATCACTCTTTGCAGCCCCATGCTTTGACATTGGGGATTAAAAGAACGGGAGAGATAAGAGAAGTTTCAATGGGAGCTTCTTGCAGCCTTCCACAGGGCTGGGGATGGGAGCTGAGGGGTGCAGGGCGCGATGCAATTGGCAGCATATTGAGAAAAAGAAACAGGTACTCCAAAAAACCAGCTTTCAGTAGTTTGCAGCCTGCCATCTCAGAAGGTTTTTTGAAGGCGTGGGGCTGTAAGGGTTGAGACCCCCCCCCCCTGCGTGCACACATAAACACATGCAAGGGTCTGGGAGAGGTGAGCTGAGAGCCAAAATAAGAAGCCTCTGCCCACCTCTTCCTGCCTGTTGCCACCTCTGCCCAGAGCCTCTGGCAGCTTAAAAAAGGGGGGAAGGAGAGGGAGGGGAGGGAGGGGAGAGGGGAAGGAGGGAGGGAAGAAAAGAGGAAGAAAGGAAGGAGAGGCAACTTGGTTGGAAATGCCCCAGTTCATAGGAAAAAGCAATTTTGTGTTCTGTTTTGTCACAGACAGAACTTTGTTGGCAATCCAAGTTAACATTGGTATTCTTGAATTGTGAGCTCTTAGGAAAATATCCCCTCCTTGTGTGTTGCTAACAGCCATTTCCAGTGGGGAAAACAGGACAAAGCAGACTGGGTGAAAATATTTTCCTTTGCTATACTTGAATTAGACCAAGGCAGGCTCTGAATTAGACCAAGGCAGGCTCCCTACAGAAGAGCCCTTTTAAGGATTATGTATTAATAGAAAAGCAACTAAGCTACCTCTGTTCCTAAACGCTAAAGCTGTTGCACATAAAAAATGGAGGAGCTCTGATCAACTATCACAGCCACCATTTTGACAGTTTTGCGGTACTGGTGTCTGTGGATACCCCCACTAAATGCAAGCACAGGATAAACAGTCTGGTTTGTTCTCAGTCTTTTAAGTGGCCACCAACTACTAGCAAAAGTGGCATTTGATCACAAGGCAAAGAGGCATCGAGAAATGTTTCCCCTTTTGCATTTGAACATCCAAGAAGGGACAGGAAAGGAGAAAGGGAAAGAGGAAAGATAAAAACAAAGAAAGAAAGAGGGGAAGAGAGCAAGGAAGGAAAAACAAGGAAAGAGGGGAAGGAAGAAAAAGGAAAGAGAATGAAGAGGGAAGGAAAAAGAAAAGGGGGAAGGAAGATTATAATGAGAGAGATGGAGGGTCTGAGGGAAGTCCTGCCTTAGCACTTGGCCACGACTAGCCCTGCTGCCCTTTTGCCATCCCCTTGTCCCCTCCTTCTGACTCTCCTGGTGGTCTCCCATCCTATCGCTGATGCTTTGGTTACAAAGTCGGTCTCCTCGCATGGAGAGAGAGTGGGCCTCCCTCTGACCCCCATATTTTGCCCTCCTGCATACACCATGAGCAACCTGGCCAAGGAAAGCAAGCCAAGCAGCAGCAGCTTCGAGGAGGTAAGTGCAGCCGAGCACCCTCTTGGGGAAGGCTGGGCTGAGCTGGGTGTTTGCCCTCCACTGCCCAGGGCTCTGGGCAGCCTGCACCACCGAGGGTTCTCCATGTGGCCTAAGAGCAAAGGAACTGCCACCGAAGAAATTAAAACCGGTACTTTTTCACTTTTATTTTTGTGGTTTGTAACATTTTATTACAAAAATACAAAAGCAAATAGTAGGACATAGTGGGGAGGAAGAAAGGGGGGAAGTGAGGGGGAGAAGGGAAAAAGAAAAGGCATTGATTTCTGACTTCCTCTGTTGCAGTAGAATGAAGTATTAACATCAAACCTCAACTTTTTACTTTTCTTTTTTATAACAAATTTTATTGGTTTTTTAACTTTTACAACAGAATATTCAAGACTCACCATGGTGGTTGGGTGATCAATCATCCAGAAACAAAATCATATAATACCTCGAGTAAATACATTAAATGTTCCCTCTCTATTTCCCTCAAATAATATAACCTATTTAACATAATCCATTTCTACATTACATTTCTATAAATTCTAATCCTGTTTTTGAACTTTATTAATTTACAGTTACCATAGTCCAATTTAATCTTAGATAAACATATTATCACTTCAGGTATCCCTTCTAAAATACAAATCCAGATATCTTCTAATTCTTAATCTCATTAATCATTGATTTTATCACAAATCTCTCTTATTTCTTCAGATAGCATTTAAATCTCATCCAAATAGTTATCATGTCTAAAAAAAAACCACACCTATTATTACACAAAACATCGTCTTACTAACTTAACACAATTAATTGTTAAATCAATCCAAATCTCTAAAAATCTCTTTCATATTCTTATTCTATTGCAAAATAATTTTCATACAGATAAACATATTATTCCAAAAAATACATTCTTACTCTGTTTAACATATATATTCTAATAATCACAGATTTTCAACTCTAAATCTTATTTCAATCCGTATTTCTCAAAATCTTTTTAATCCATTACATATAATTTTAAATTTCTCTTTTTAGTCTTATTCTGGCTTTCTTTTTATGCCAAGCAGGTTTCCATAACAAGACCTCTGTTTCAGCAAATAGATCTCCCATTATTGCTTGTAATGTCATTTGGGTCAGTAAAAGACCTCCCATCCTCTGTTTTTGATGCCTGGCTCCTGTCTGCTGAATAAAACACTCAATCATGTCCAATTTTATAGTTAGTAGTTGATTATCAAAGTTGTCATAATTCTCCAACAGTTATAAGTCCATTTCTGTTAGTTTGCAATTGTAGATAGTTTAGTTACAATTATTTTTGGTCATTCAAAGTCTCAATAGATTGTATGTAAGATGAGATAGAATCTTCTTTAGTGTAAATTAATTCCTCTTCTATTGCTTTTTGGTCTGTAGAATGATCAAATAGAGTCTGAAGGTCGGTTTGTAAGTTCACAGTAGAATTTCTGTTTATTATTTCTGTAGTACTCTCTCTTACTTGGAAACATATTTCCTCAGTAGCTTCATAGATTTTATCCAGTATGAGTTTACAGTTGAGTTGTAAATAAGATTTCTCCATTTCAATCGTAACTAAGACCAATCCTGTTATCTTTTAGTGGAGGCTGTATTCCAAAACATTTAGTCAGTGTTCATCCCCGCAAATAATAGCTGT